TTGTCCTGTATCTTCTGGTCTCTCTTTTAGGAATAGTTGTATTTGCTGTATTTTCAAAAATATATATGTTTTTGGGAGGAGATTTCTGCTGTCCTACTCATGCTGCCATCTTGGCTCCTCCTTGGCTAAAGTGTTTTTAACAATACCTCACATTAGAGGAAAGGTAAATCCATGGGGTCATAGGGCAGAGTATCATTAGTGAACTAAAAAGAAGAATATTCTATTAAAGGTTGTTGTGTGAAGTTAGATAACTAGCACGATCAGAATTTCTTTTGGTTCTATCTCAAGATCAGTGGTAAACATAGTTGAATAACTACTTCCAGCAAACACTAAGCTTCTGTAGTGCCGAAATATTGTGATCCACATGAATTTAACTTGGGCACTTCTCCTTATTACTATGAATTTTATAATGATGCTTCACCTAGGAAAAAAAGGTACATAACTTCAGTGTACCCCAGGTCTTTCTAGTCCTTAGCACCAAGTATCAGATTCAATCTGATCTTATATGAACAGGCAGAAATGCTACTGAGGCAATTCAAATTCAAAGATAATCATTTGCCTTAATGATTCCATCTTTTCTCAACACAGGCACAGAGAAAAATGAGATTACCACAAACATAAATGGCACAGTAATACAATGTCACCTGATAGATCTCCTATAAGCCAACAGACCTTTTTGATAAAAAATGTGTTCCATTTAACATGAACAGGCCTTTAAGTTACCATTATATAACACAGCAAGGCTTCTGATAATTTCCCTCAGAAAATTTTGCAAAGTAGTAAGAAACTGATTGTGGAGACATAAATCCTTACTTTGTATTTGCCTTTCATGAGCTGTCTAATGAAGAAACTTCAGTTGACGCATCTCAGACTTGGTAAGTATAAAATTTTATGGAAAAGTAAAATTCCAAATTTAAGATACTCACTAGGATTGTCAACTGTTAACTTTACTAAGGTAAGGTCATTTTTTAAAATGTAGCATTTTAAAATTTAAAAACAATAAGAAAAAGAAAGATATAATCTCAGAGTAAAGGACATCCCTTATAATTTAATGAAAAACAACACATTGTCCTGTTTTTCTGTCTGCAGTGTTTAATTCAAAGTTACCAACTACAATTGACCTTTGGACAACCAAGGTTAGGACCACCCCCCTTCTCCACCCCTTGTAACCAAAATTCTACATGTAATTTTGACTCGCCCAAAATTTAAGTACTAACAGCTTATTGTTAACCAGAAGCCTTACTGATAACAAAGTCAGTTACATATACTTTGTGTGTTCTATGTATTATATACTGTATTCTTATAATAAAGCTGGAGAAAATGTTTTTTCAAATTGTCACAATTCTCTAAAATTCTTCCCAGTATGTTTATTGAAAAAAATCTATGTGTCAGTGGACCCACACAGTTCAAACTTGTGTTGTTTAAGGACCAACTGTAATTCGGCTTCTCCAGCAATGAGATTTCAAGGCATGCACTGACAAGGAGCTTGGCACTCCTATCAAAGTAACAACATACTTGACACGTTTGCAAAATAACACTTCAAAAATGGTTGAAATTAAAATGTGAATTAGTCCATTAAACAGTAGGGTTATTCAACTGGAATCCCCTTTCACAAACACTAGACTAAGAAACATTCCCCATTGAGCTGCTTGTATGTGTTAAATTATGATAGGCATTTTCACATACATTATCTCATTTAATATTGACAACAAACTAAGACAAAAGAAACATTCCAGAAGACAAACATACCTCATCCATTACTTCCTCCTCCCCAAATGAGACAAAATGTAAAATTTTACCTTCTTACCACCTTCAAACCTATATTGCTCCCATTCTCATCTCCAAGACTCAAGTTACTGTCAAAATGATACATAGGAATTTCCTCACTGAACACAAACCCCAAATAAGGATTAAGAAGTCAAAAATGGCTTTTTTAGGCTTAAAACCTGATTTCACACTAAACAACTACACTTGAACCCAGCACATTCTATTTTTAGCTTCCAGGATTTTATCTCCAATGTTTACAGATCGTAAATTGGTGTAATAAAATAATGAGCAATAGTTAAAAAGTAGCTCCCCAAAAGGAAAACTATGCTTGCTTAACCTTTTATTACTGGGGAGTTTTAGAGTACATTACCTGACTTGGCCCATTAATTAGTTTCAACCACATATATAAAGATTAACTTTTCTTCATCTTGGAAAGTCAGTGAGAAAAGTACCATAGCTTGAAGTACACACCCAGATAATGACATGGAACTGAGCTAAGGCAAATCAAGACACCATTGTTCACAAAATCCAGAAAGGTAACAGCATGCTTATACTTTAGTTTCAAGTAACTGAAAAGCCTTATTCAAAATGGTGAGGTAATAGGGAAAATTATCTCAAGGAACAAGATGTCCATATGTAGGCTATACTGTCAGGGCTCTGGCTCTGCTTTTCTCAGATCCTTTGGCTCTGCTTCATCCTCAGGCCATGAGATGGCCAAAAAATTCTAAGTATCACATCCAGAAGATGGCAAACTCCAGGAGAGAGCGAGCTCTTACCAAGTCTCATTCTCCGAAACGAGATCTTACCAAAAGCCCCCGTTAAGAAAGCATAAAACCTACATGCGATTTATTCCCACCAGGATGTTTAAACATTTTAACAGTAAGGTATTAACAAAGGGCCACGTGGTGGAAGATGCTCAGGCTGAGAGTGGGGTTGGGGGTGGGGGAATGGATAAGGGCCTAGCTATACCTGTTAAGAGTTTTTTAAACCTACCAATAAGATTAAGACAAATGTAAGGGAAAGATTTAACTGGCTTAGGTGACAGTCTGGGAAAGAATGTGAACGCTGTAGTACTCAGCCAATGAGGAACCAGGGGAGGGATTCGCACACTAGGAGATAAATTACTGGCGCCAAACTCCCCAGGTGTGCCTGCCCACCAGACACCCATTCTTGCAAGACGTCACTAAAGCCTTGCTCCACTGTTCTCTTTGTCTGTGTCCACTTACTGAATTTGGACCAGTGTTTCTCACCACCCCCACATCCATACTGGCCCAAATTGGACCACGTGTTCATTGACAATGTAAATCACTGGTTAGGATTACAGTGTCATAATAGAAACTCACCCCTAGTAGGTGAAGATGAGTCAGATTCCCCTGAAGCACAGGGCTGCAGAGAAAGAGATGAACTTAAAATCTGGGTTCTACTGTAATCATGTGGATGTTAGAAAATGGGCATCTGTATTTCCTACCACGGTAAAGGCAGGATAGCCAGACTTTTTCCTGCTCCCCATCTCAGTAGACTGAGGACTTAACTGCTTGGTGACACCCACACAGCTGTCAACATAAATTCAGTTTGGCTTTGTCCATATGGCATTAATATTCTACAAATACTTAATTTACCCTCATTTCAAAAATATGAAAATCAATGTCCAGAGAGGTGGCAGTCACACTACTAGTCGGGGGGCAGAGACAAGACTTAAAGCCAGGTCCCTGCCCAGTACCCCCACAACACCAACCTCTGTTTCAAACAAGGACTTTCAGGCCTCAATGAGTTGACAAACAGGTTTTAGAGACAACCTATGAATAGAGGGAACCTTGTTAAAGGAAGAGAACCTTAGAAATCACTTTACTTGTAAATTAGTAATTGGACATATACTGTCATTTGCTCAATTGGCATAATAAATGCAAGAGAAGAAATATTATAAGACAGAATGTAACAACTCACAGAGAATGATAAAAACCCACACTATAGTTTATTTATGGAGAAAAAACAACTATGATCCAGAAAGGACTTAGAGGATTTGAGCTGACTCTTCAACTGATGGATGGAATGTGAGGCATGTTCATGAACAAAAGGTGATTCGTTAGTTTCAGGAATATTAATTGGGTTGGGCAGGGGAGATGAATAGTTAAGAGCATTTAAAATTTTCAACCAAGGATGTACATGAAACTGTGGAAGCAGAGTCATCTAAAGTTTAGAGAAGTTTTAGGCATGTCCAGGTAGCAGTATGTTCAACCTTAAGTACTTCAGTTGATATATTCCAATCTACTAGTAACATTACTTCTATGACATGCTTTATTAAAAACACTTAAGGTAGGAAAGTTTTTAAAAATACTTGTTCTTTAAAGTGAAGACATTTTCACCAACCTGAAAGTTATCACTCTCTTAATTGTGTTTAAATTTAAAAGAAGTTTCAATCATCTTTTTCATCAACTGACTTCATATTTTCAGGTTTTCATTCTCAAGGTATCAATCTGGGCTGTGATACAATGAAAACAGACTTAAAAGTAATGTCACACACAGTGAAAGAGGTCAACCGATTTGAAGGGACAACTGATTTCATTAATGGCCACAATACTGATACTATCACCATTTGAAATTAATGAGTCAAAAACTACTTCAGATGTTCAAGTATATAGTTTGACCTTACTAGTTATGTGTTATCAAACTTTGAATTTAAATTTATTTTTCTAGTTTTAATGTTTGTAAAACAAATGTGAATGTTGCTAGCTATGCAATACCATCGTAAGTAATTCTGCAGGATAGGTATTTAAATTTACTTCTAAAATTATACAATTCCTCAATAGGGCTATTCATTTAAATTTCATCCTAAATCAATTCTTTTACTAATAAAAGATCCACATCAAAAGTAATTTGTCAATCATGCCTTAATACAGCTGGGAAGAAATTAATTTATTGAAAGAATTCCACCTTATTGTGATGGGTCAGAATAACCTAGGTAACCCTAAATTGAGTTAAATATGTTTCATTCAAAATATTAATCTCATCATAATGTAAATTAACTCCAAAACTATGCCTTTTATACATTGGGCTGAATAAGGACACAACTGACCTGAGAGAAAATTGCTTTCAGAAGCACCATTTATTTTAATAGACTTGATTGTTTTACAGTACCCAGTATCAGAAGACCACAAATACTGAATTGGTAGTTCTGAATAGTAAGTGTTGCAATATTCTGGTAAGACTGAAATTTTAAGAATTTTAAATTTGCTTTGATATATAGATAACTGATTTTTCAGTATTCAAACTGAAAAAAAGCACATTTTAAATTAGAACTGGATTCAAATTGTACCTACTTCTGCCAATTCTCTGAGCCTGTTTCACCTGAATGATGTGCAGTACTTACCTATCATAGATCATAATTAGGACTAAATTATTACAGGAAAATAACTTACCACAACTCCAATATATTCAGTGAATGGTAGCTATTGTTAATTATACAGGAATCTTCATTAACACTTTTGTAAATCTTGTTGCTTTAGTATTTAGGCAGAATGTGGTAAAAAAAAAACACTGCCTTTTTCATTGGAATGATCAGATTGCACAGTATTTCCATTGTGGAACTGAATCATTATTGGGGTAGGGGGCAAAGTTCTTCAGGATGCAGATACTGCACCTTACACCCTAGTAAACTGTTTTAGCTAAAGTGCCATGTTCAGCCCCCTTAAAAGAATTATGAAACAAAAGGAGTCTGTTAAAGGTAAAATAATCCCATATAGTTTCTATAAGCCTCTGAAAAAAAATTGGTTGTTCGGATGTCTACAGTGACAATCTTAAAGAACTGCAAAGTCAACTATTTTCCAAATTATCTAGTCTCTACTTAGTCTACTTTAAATATTCCATATATATAATATTTTATAATTACTTAAAAACTTAAAATGTATTGTCATGTACACTAAAAACAGAATGCTTGATTGAGCACTATTATCTTCTATCATCCCAAGTAACAAAAGATGTGTGTATGACTTTAGCCTTTTGATTATACTTAAAGTACATATACAGTGACACAATTGTTCAAGCAAGAACAAAGTGAATTAAGCATTTCTAAGTATGCAGCTAGAAATCACTTGTCTTCGGCTTTATTGAAGTGCTTAGAAAAGTTTATTTTCTGCTTAAAGTTATTTTCCTAAAGCATCACAAAATTATTATACAGCCAAACTCTACAATGGTAAATTATCTAATATTCTAAAGGAGATGTCTTTAAAGAAAACTGTAGGATATGATACTGTAAACCTAATGGATTTACATAGCAAAAGAATCTAGACAAAAGGGGACATCACAGAAATTATCTATTACATAATGGACAGGTGAGTCATTCTGAATACTTAAGCTGTCCCCTGCCCCTTTGCTATAATAAGGTGAAAATTGTTGTAATTGTTCAAGGAGTAAAACTATATTAAATGTCCCATTCTGCTGATGCCCACCTGTGAAATACCACACAACACAAAGTATAGAATATGGAGTCTGTCTTTTCAAAAACACAAGAAAGTTATGATTTTAAAACATTAAGCATATACTTTGTAAAATCAATTAAGAACTTCCTGTATGTAAGGACAAATATACATTGAAAACATACACTATAGAAAGTTTTTTCCTGAGTAGAATGCTAATTTTATTTTGTATTGAACTAAGCTTCTGTGAATTCTGAAAATGGAAAATATCAAGGCTTTTCCACATCAAATAAAAATCAGGAATGTTCACCTTCATATCCCTCCCGCAAAAAAAGTTCAAGTACAGGTTCAACAATAATGCAAAACACCCTAAATGAGTGGGCAAATTTTTAAATTATAAGTAGACAGCTCTTTAAGAATCCCTTAGCAAACTTCAGTTTGAAAAAACAAAAATTTACTATTAATATATGAAAAAAAAACATTTCTAGGAAATTATCCAATTGGAAAACAAAACATGTAACCCATGGTAAGAAAAATAAAAATCACACAATGAACAGAGGAGAACAAAAAGGCAACCAACTTTATAGGAACCAAGGAATCAATACCATGGACTTATAAAAACTTCCTAAATCAGTAGTATACTCTGTATTATCATGTATAGAAAACCATAATTAAAGTAAGGTAGTTTTTGTTAGTTGCATAATCTAAATATATGAAGAAAATTTGAACTGATTTCTCTAAAGGACCACAGAGTTGACACTGAAATACCTATTTCTTGAAACAATGCGCAAAGTTCCCATTTATAGGAAATGTGTTCTTTTCTTCACACAGTGAAACTGAGAAAATTTGTATCAAATGAGAAATGAGAGATTCTCTAATCTCTTTAAATAACTCAATAATGTAATACCTGGGAAATGTAATTTTTCAGCACAGACTTGTAACAGGTTATATTAAACAAACATACACAAATCTTATTGCTTGGCACCAGACTTTTCAAAATGTAAAGAATTGTTTAAACCGCCATATCATTCTTAAATCTTACTTCAAACTTTTTTACACAATGCTACTTTTATTTTCTGGAAGTAGACTGTTCAATCTAATAACAATCTAGACTGAACTCTATGAAGGACAATGTCACAGTTCACTTCAACCAAAAGAAATGATCTTCTGTTTTTGTCAAAATCATATTAAGGTATTTATAAAAATAAACTAGGATTTATCTGCAGCCAACAAAGGACCCACAGAACGTTGTCTTATGGCATTCTGTACAAAGTCTTTGTTTGTTTCTGCTTTACTTTCTGCTTCCTCTTCTGAAACATCTTCTTCATCTGCCTCTTGTTCCTCCTCCACTTTTTTCAAAGCCTGAGAAGATTCCGGTAATAATTTTTCTTAAAGATAAAGACCAGAAATGTTTTTTTGTTGATGCATTAGATCTGCATTAGAGTAAAATCAAGACACAATTCCTATGACCATAAACTGCTTTGTCATTTACCAATCATGTTTGGATTTCCAAAAAGAAGTTATCTTCAAAAACAAGTAATACCATAAATATAAAAACTGCATTGGAAGACCCCTTTTACTTACCAAATTAATTCTTATTACCCATCTATTTCTAAAATGAACAGAAATTAATGAACCATAATTAATGCTATGAATATGGATATTATAAGAAAATATACTGCATCAAGTGTAACTATTTTATACTAGTTTGTTGTTAAATCTTCTAGCTAGCAAGTATACTGAAACAAACCTCAAAACTAACCTTGTTTTGGTTCCTGGGCAAACAGCAATCAGACATTTACAGCTGAAGGTTATGTTACTATCCATCTTTTTTTTCCAAGTCATTTCATAAATGGGCTTCCTCCTCTCCACATATATAACTTATTAAGGTATAATTACAAACAATAAAACTTACAAATTTTAAGTGTACAGCTCAATGAATTTTTAAATATATACACACAAAGGTATACTCTTTCTATTTTTTTTTTTTTATAGGGCCTGGTTGCTAGTTAGCTTAAACTTAGAACACACCATGTTACTGAGATACAGAACACAGAATTGAGCCAATAAGCTTTACTCTGTTCAGTGATCCGAGACTGCCCCCAATTCACAGCAACAGAAATTGGAGTGGGGGGAGAAAACCAGGATGTTTGACAGGAAGAGTTTGGGAAGAAATGACCACATAGTGGGCAATCTGTGTTTGGTCTGCCTGGCATTCCTTTCTGTTGAGTTAGTAAGTCCCTTTCCTATACCACATCCCATTCGGATGTGTTGAGCACTACAGTTTATAGCAATAGTTTCTCCACCAGGGGTGAATTTGCCCTCCAGGAAGCAGCTGGCAATATCTGAAGATATCTTAGGTGTCACAACTGAGAGGGGCAGGGCTACTGGCAACAAGTAGGATGCTGCTGAACATACAAAAATGTACAAAACAGTCCATCACAATTAAGAAATATCCAGCCCAAAAGGTTAAAAGTGTTGACACTGAGAAACCCGGGTTTACAGAGACTGTTCCAGTGAGCCCTTTACATAAGTAGAGAGTACATCGGAATTTTTCCAAGAGAGAGAGGTGGGTGCAGGGAGGAAGGGTATTTCCTTCTTACTCTGGGATTGTGAGCTATGATTTTCTATAATAATTTTATGCTAAGGACTGCAAAGAACCAAAAATGGTGAAAGCAAAGGCATGGAGAACTGAGTAATTCAGAAATTTAACATCTTAACATTTGAGCCTCAGGATCCAGTCAACTCTGCCCTAAGATTTCCTTGCTAAGTGAACCAATAAATTCCTATTCTGCTTAAAGCTAATAAGCTGGTTCTTTCCCTAGCAACTCAACATCTATGCCAAACACACATACTGAAAACAGCTCAAATCATGTGGTCTGCTATAAAAGGGGGATATATCACATTAAAGTATGGGTTACTATTTATCAGTTATTTCACAGATTACTTAACTGCAAATTTGTTGTTACATTTGAAGTTCTTGAAGTGAAATAAAAATAAAGTGTACATTAATCAACTACTAAATTGTCTTTTGAGTAATCTGCGCTTACATTTTTTCTTACAGGTCAGTGGCCTTTGGTGGATAAAATGATTCCCTCCCTTATACTGTCCTTTTTAGCACTGATGCAAAAATATAAGAAATGAAAAGATAACCTATCAGTTATTCAATAGACTAAACAGAACATAAATACAATCTGTACTGATTTCACTTCAGGAGTCTGACCTCAATAAATCCTAAGTCATAAGAGGCAGCATATTATGTCAGGCCAAGAGTCTGATTCAGGTCCTACTCTCAGCTCTGTCATTTCCGTGTAACCTTGGAAAAATAGTTCATCTTTCTGAGCCTTAGTTTTCTTAATCATAAAATGGGAAGCATACTATTTATGGAGTCTACTTTATAGAGAGTTGTTGAAAAGCAAATGGGATGACAAGGTGAAAGTTCTTTAGAAAGGGCAAATAGGTCTCCCCTAACAGTATAATTATAAGATTAAAAATAAGTGTTTGGTAGATAATATATATTAAGGCTGACAACAGTAAATACTTCTAATTATGCAGAGTCATTTTGTAATAAAGTAGAGTCAATGCCAATCCTAAATCTGCTACAGGAATTTATTTTCCCAATATCCTACCAGAAACACTTAGACTTGGTCAGCATACAAAAAAACCTTTCAAATGTCGTCCCTATACTAATGAATGACTTGAAGAGTAGAATATAGGCAACTTTTTTTTTTTACTCAAGTATATTCAAATGAATATCATGGAATTTTCAAATAAACTGACATCAGATCAATGCTATTAAATATCTACAAATTATATGCAATGTTAAAATTCTCCACAACATGTAGGCAAAGAAAATATCTATGTTCCTAAATACAATCCCTTTTCCCCTTCTGATATAAAACCATCACTCCATATTTAGAAACCTAAGCTGGAAGGGCAACCTATCATATGTGTGATTGTATTCAGAGAAATGAACAGGATTACAGTAAATAAAAAATAAACATTTAAAAATATACTTACTGGAAGGGTATGGCTGTGGTCTGCGCCTTTTTGAAGGACAAAGACAATCTGCTACAAATATCATACACTGCAAAAATAAACATAGGAAATATGAATGTGTAACATATGATAAAGCTAGTGTAAATGTATTAAACTATCAAATTTTAAAATATTTTTCTTCTCTGAAAATGAAATACTTACAAGTCCTAGTAACAGTCCTGAAAGCAGAGTTGCTAAAGCAAAAACTGTATATGATCCCCAAACAGGTAATCCAAGGTCTTCAATAAAATAGTTATGGCAAGTCTAAAATCAAAAGAAAAAAATAAACTGAGAACTTGGTTGTTTAAAAAAGAAGCAATAGTGTCAAAAATGTTTAAAATAGGAAATTTTAGTCCATACCCTAATCCACATAGAAAGTTGAAAGAGTGTTGACATACTACTCATCCTAAAATAAAAAAGAGGTTATTGAAAAACTGAATCAGATACACAGCTTTTAAGAATATATGTATGTATACCTGTATCTTCCATGTTTTACTCTAAATTTCCCCAACACAACAGATTTTATTGCTAGTATTAACCAAGATTAGTGCTCAGATTTCAAGCCTGTAATAAGAAGCTTGTTAATGAAAATAAACAGTTTCTGAATTGTCACTATGAGATGTCCTTATTAAAAAAACACTTGATAATTTTGTCCCCTTTCCTCTATTGCTTTGACATTAACTTTTCAACTTTCACCTGATGATTTCTCCAGTATACTCTAAGTAACAAGTTACAAGGCCTGTGACCCCAGCTGGTTAAGGTTAGGCATACTATAAGCAAATGGCAACTCTCATTCACCCTTAAAATCCTCCCAAGAATGAGCAGAGAAGGGAGCAGGAAGGAAGAACCAAGGGCCCTGGTTGAGCCAATCTTTCCACCTAAGAATTAATTATCCCCCATTTTATATTAAAATTTAGTAAACTTCATAATAGCATTAGTTTGATGTAATTTAATGACATACAAAGTAATTACTAGCAAATAAATGCTAATTCAGCATAAGTAAAAATAATAACTAAACTTGGGTAGTTTAAATGGGCAGAAAAAGGTTATGCTCCAAAAGTAAGAGTTTGTGAGTTCCCAACTGTTTTCCCTCCAGCAGAAGTTTTGCCACCAACACATAAACCAATTCACACATGAGCCACAGGACCTGTATGCGAGATGACCCAATCCAATGGTCAACCACAGGGTGGGTGACCCTGCTGACACAGGAAGTGCCCTTATTCAGCCTATCAATTAAAAAAAAAAAAAAAAAAGGTAGGAACTGCTAACCTGGGTGTATGACACAGGCTTGGAAACAAGCCTCTTCTACTATGGGATAAAATTCATTTATGAGACTGCGAAGAACACAAATCAGTTGCATTTTCAAGTTAACATATACAGGTACTTTAATCCTGTTGCTTCTGTTGTTTAAAATACAAAATGGGAGTAAGAATAAGGAACTGAAACATTAAGCGCTTTGTAGCCTCACTATATCCTGCACTAATTAGAATCTATCAGGAATAGTAGCTGCCTTATTTGGGTTGGGCCTGGTGGTTCAGTGAGGGAATTCTGACAGCCAATGGACAATTTGGAGATTTCCCTTATATATGGATATAAGGGAAAGGTGCTGAAAATGAAAATTCATTTCAAAATACTGCTTAGGGCTGATCATTCCCCTGCTCCCAGAATCCAGGGCATTTTGTCTAGTGTTTCATTGGTGTCCCAGCTCCCCACCCTCCATAGCAAGTGTGTGAAGAGACAGGAAAAGAGAGCTTAGTCCCACCAGGCTGAGACTGAGACCATGGCAATCTAAGCAAAACTCAGTACTCCCAGAGGTAACTCAGCTGCCCGGTGAGGCCTTGCACCCCAACAGCTGGCAGAAAACATGCTGCTATCTTCCAAGCTGCTACCCTCTAGCTATATAAAAGCTCAGTGGTCAGTTAGTTATTGTTCATTCATGCTATTAAAAGAAAAAGTTATCAGACAGGTGGAATAATTTGGTCACATTAAATCAAGAACTGAAATCTAGCATGAACAGGTTTGTGTATGAGGTTTCTCATTCAAATATTGAGCTCAAATGATAGCTTTACCCATTACACTGCTCACATTCAGGGAATACTTAAATTTTGATGACACTAATGGACCATATCTTCAGAGCTAAATAGTCCTGAAAAGACTTTAAACTCAATTGTACAGAATTCCTCCTTCTAACTTAACAAGGATCAAAGCATCTGTTTGACTTAGAAGATAAAAGTCAAAGTAAAAATATTACATGGAAGTCTGAACATACCTTAACAGTCCAAGAATTAAAACCGAGTATGAATGCTTTTTTTCCCACGAAATACAATTATTTGTCCCAATTAATTTTGAGTAAGAGAAAAATTCCTCATACTTACAGAACAGAACCTGGACCAAACCATGACGAAACGGGCTCAATACTCTTCCACTCTTTCTCACTTACAAAGTTTATGAAGTCTTTCTTAGTCCGTGGGCCCTGATAGCGCCTAAATTCACCACCTTTACAACTAAGAAAGATTACAATTAATATTAATCTGCACCATATAAACTTTTGCTTTGCTTATTTCATCATCACTCACTTTATTTGTAGACCTCACTTTATAATCAATCACAATGTTAAAAATCATTAGCAATGTATGTAAGTAGCAAATTACACTAATTACCCACTCATGACATCTTAGTTCCAAATCTAATTAAACAATGAGGTTATATTTTTAAACAATCATAAGCTTTAAGACTTAGTGTTATGCTTCTAAATAATAAAACTGGAACACAGTAAGTAATTATGTGTTAACTGTATCTCAATAACACTGCAGGAAAGGGAAGCACAGGAAGTAGATCTACCTCAGGAAATCACTTTGAGCCTTATTTGTAATACCACATATTGAAGGGCAGCTACATGAAAAGCTGTTAGCCTAGTGTCTGCCACTGATAAGTCACTACCTATTCATAAACCACAGGTTAAAAATTTAAGGCATTTTTCCAGTATTTTCCATTATAATCACATCATCTCAGCCACCAAGTTTTAAATCCCTGGTGGAATCTGGCACAGTGCTTCCCTTCCTCTCACCTCAGTGATTCTATTTTACAGTCTGCTCTGCATTCTTCCTGACATCCATCTCCTCCTTCCCATTCCCAATACATGGAGCTCTGTCATAGGGTCATAAATGCTCTCCCTGCTCCCACACCTTCACTATTTCCAAACTACCTTAAATAATACTGCCAGTCTAATCCTACTTAATTAACACTTCTATTTGTATCACTTAACTGCAAAAAATTCCATACCTAGAGGAGGGTTACAGGATCCTTAAGTTATCAAGCTCCAAAGACCACAAGGAAGCCCCCATTCAAAAGATGTTTCATGGAGAAAATGGTATTTGAGCTATTTCTCAAAGATAAGCAGGATTTCAACAGACAGAAATTAGGAGAATGGGCATGATAAACAATGTGACTAAAAAAGAGCAGGAAATTACAGATAAATTGAGGTGTTGGAGAAGTGAAAAAGAAAAGGGAAGACTGATTGTAGCCAGTTAAGGGGCATGTGGAGAAGAGGATGGAGTAAAAAGGCAGAGTGGCACTTACAGAGACAGAGAATAGACATTTAAATAGACACAAAGGGAGTAGGGGTGAGTAAGAAGGTATAGGGAAACAAATATCATCATGAAAAAAGATGACAAAGAGGGATAGAGACACACAAAGAATTGCCAACTTGTTTTCACAATTTTAAATGAGAAGTACCTCCTGGCATTCAACCCCCAGGTAGATGGGGGTTCTAAGAGTTTTATGTAAGTTACAAAACCATAAAACTCTTAGAAGAAAACATGGGGGAGGTACACAGAATTCCCATCCCATATGAGAAAATAAAGTCAAACTAGAAGAGCTGATGCTGAAGACTACAAAATCTTGTTCATTCTGACTTAACACTCATTTCACTACTGTCCCCAAGGATGAGCTACAGAACTTTCTTAGCTAACTTTTGAATATACCATGCTCCTATTTACAACTCTTTTATGAGATTGGCTTTAGGATGGAATGCTTACTCTGCACTCCTGAAAATTCTGCCTTCAAGATTGCATGAAATCCCATATTCTCCAGGAACCACTCCAGCCCAGTGATTTTTCCCTTCTTACACGACTTAACACAACTCTGGGCTTATAATCATATACTATGCTGAATGGTATCACACCATTTCATGTGAATCTCAACTTCCAAAAAATTATAAATATTTCCAATCAAGGACTGTCTGATATACCATTCATCTGTCTAAATGCATCTAGAATAGAACTAAGTGTAAAAGAAGGCTTCTAATATACTTATTGAACATAATGCACTTTAAACATGATCCAGGCCAGAGACCTACTATTCTGATGCATCCTTCTCCATAACTACAGAATTTTCAAATACTTACTGATAAATAGTAGGAAGAGCAGTTATGATAAATCGTCCACTTAATCCTACAAACGGTAAAGATGAGAAATAAATATAGGAAAGAATACAGCCGGTTCCATATGGGCTAATCACTTTCTACTTAAAAACTGACTCTGAATTATTTAAATACTAATAGGGAAAGATATGAATTTATAACAAAAAAAACAGTTGAATTTTGTAATATAAATATTGAAAAAAATCCCAATTATGTACAATATTTAAAGCAACCTTAAAAAAACACATTATCTCAATCAAAAAGTATGTAAAGCTTGAATATTAAAGATACTTGAAAAAATACATATATATAAACAATCAATTATACCACTGTGTTAAGAGTACTAGTGATAAGTCATGGGACAGCACAATTTAACAACTGTCATAGAGAGTCTAAAATCTAACAAAACTGCAGTTGACATTCAAAAAACAAAGGTAGAGTTAAGGTGTTAAAAATGGAAAATGTTATGAATCTTTCATAAATAATAACAATATAACAATAAGAAGTAACATTATTAACCATGTGTTAAGCACTAATATACCTGAGGATAAACCAGTTTTATCTGTAAAATGAAAGCATTACCTATCTCACAAGGTTGTGTAATGATTACATAATAAATGCAAAACATTTGGAACAGCAACTGTAATAGGTAAGTACTCAATAAATATTAGCTTTTACTACCATTTGGGATGGGGGCAGTCAAGAACCCAGGTTTATAGTGAAAGAGAACAAGTCGGATGGGGCTGGTCCAAGAATGGAGCAGCATCCTTAAGGGCAAGGCCTGCCACTTGTCAAGGAGCCAACACAGGAGTGTACTGGACCCCCAATCATGAGGACTTTGTAATTAAGAGCCCATCTCCTCAAATACAACATCTGGAACCTTCAACCACACACTCCTTGTTCTCAAGATTGTTATGGATGCAAACAATGGCTTGGCCAATGTCTACTCGGACTTAAGTGTTCCAGGACTTATCAAAGGCGACTTTAGTAAGGGGCACTCAGATAAAAAGGCATCCTCGTTTGGGACCTGGGATGCAAAGGGAAAAAACATCAGAGGCAGTTATGTGAGGAAGAATAGGAGGAGGGCGGTGTCTCCAAGGCCCTTAGAGCAACACATAGGAATGAGCTGCATACCCAACCAGTCATCTGCTTCTTGCAGCCACTGTGGCACACTGCCATCAGGGAGGTAGGTGAGTTGGCTTAACTAGCTGCAGACAGTTATGTTTTCAAAAGCTAGTGAACAGCACAGTTAAGACCACATAATGTGGAAAACAGGATAAACATGTCAACCAATCTGTAAAGAAACAAAACTAACCAAACAACAGACTCACAGTACCTGGCTGCTCTGTGACATCTACTTTTGCAATGTTAACTTCAAGATCTTCTCCCCATTCCGCAAAACTTTCCCATTCTGGCTGAAGATTCTGACACGCAGGACACCACGGTGCATAACTAAAAAATACAATTTTTAAAAAAGTTAAGCACTCTAATATGATTATTTTGGCATAAATTCTAAAATGTATAACTTAGTAAAAACAAGAGAGCAAAGTGTTTAATTTTGTAAAGATGAAAAAGTTAAGTGTGGATCTAATACTAAGGAAATCAAGGACAATGAATTGATGATGCTTATCATGTAAAATTCTGAGAATAAGTTCTTAAGACACAGAGACTTCTTTACATGGAAAACAGCTCTTTAAAAACCTTTGGATTTCTCCCATTGATCAATGAACAGAATAGAGAGCCCATATATAAACCCACACATATATGGTCAATTAATATATGATAAAGGAACCATGGATATACAATGAGGAAATGACAGCCTCTTCAACAACTGGTGTTGGCAAAACTGGACAGCTACAAGTAAGAAAATGAAACTGGATTATTGTCTAAGTCCATACACCAAAGTAAACTACATATGGATCAAAGACCTGAATGTAAATTACAAAACCATAAAACTCTTAGAAGAAAACATAGGTAAAAATCTCTTGAATATAAACACGAGCAACTTTTTCCTGAACACATCTCCTCAGGCAAGAGAAACAAAAACAAAAATGAACTCACGGGACTATATCAAACTAAAAAGCTTCTGTACAGCAAAGGACACCATTGGTAGAACAAAAAGGCATCCTACAGTATGGGAGGATATATTTGTAAATGACATATCCAACAAGGGGTTAACATCCAAAATAGATAAAGAACTCACAATGCCTCAACACCCAAAAAGCAAAAAACCCAATTAAAAAATGGGCGGAGGATCTGAACAGACACTACTCCAAAGAAGAAATTCAGATGGCCAACAGGCACATGAAAAGATGCTCCACATTGCAAATTAACAGGAAAATGCAAATTAAAACCACAATGAGATGTATCACCTCACACCAGTTAGGATGGACAACATCGAAAAGACAAGCAACAGCAAATGCTGGTGAGGATGCAGAGAAAGGAGAACCCTCCTACACTGTTGGTGGGAATGTAAATTAGTTCAACCATTGTGGGAAGCAATATGGAGGTTCCTCAAAAAAATAAAAATAGAAATACCATTTGACCCAGAAATTCCACTCCTAGGAATTTACCCAAAGAAAACAAAATCCCAGATTCAAAAAGACATATGTATCCCTATGTTTATCACAGCACTATCTACAATAGTCAAGATATGCAGGCATCCTAGGTGTCCATCAGTAGAAGAGGTGGTACATAGACACAATGGAATGTTATTCAGCTATAAGAAGAAAACAAATCCTACCATTTGCAACAACATGGATGGAGCTAGAGGGTATTATGCTCAGTGAAATAAGCCAGGCAGAGAAAGACAAGTGCCAAATGATTTCATTCATCTGTGGAGCATAGGAACAAAGCAAAAACTGAAGGAACAAAACAGCAGCAGACTCACAGAACCCAAAAATGGCACATATAGTGTGGGGAGGGAGGTGTGTCACGGGGAAGACAGTATAGCACAGAAAAGATGAGTAGTGACTCTACAGCATCTTACTGCGCTGACAGACAGTGAATGCAGTGGCATGTGGGGGGGACCTGATAATATGGGTGAATGTTGAAACCACAATGTTGCTCATGTGAAACCTTTCTAAGATTGTGTATCAACAATATATTAACAACAACAACAAAAACCTTTGGATTTATCAGAATGTGGCCCCCAGAAAGCTCAAAGCCAAATTTGGAGTTTACTAGTTTTTAGAATTTGGCATTGCATAAGTCACAAATGCAAGGTGCCAGTATGAGAAAACTAGGACATGCCTAAGGCTGTGGTGAATAAAGAAACAGAGGTCCCACCTTAGCGAGGGAACCACTACTCAGCATGACTGCCATAGAGGATAGCTGATCAGGTATGGCAGGCTATATTTTATTTAATAGAAACTGAGAATCAGTATTTTTTTATATAAAAGTGTTACCTCAAACTTAGCCCACACAAACAAGCACTAGGCAAGCCAAACAAGTCTTTTAGCCAGCCCTTGGTCAGGGTTTGGGTTTACAAATCTATGGCCAAGCACATTAACATTTTAATTACTCCTCTAGTATTCAGCACCTTTCAAAGCCCTGATTTTTCCCTAGGATTTCACTTTTTCCACTTTTTGTATACTATAATTTGCCTCACTTTTTTTTTAATGGAACCAGGAAAAATAAAGCCTACACCTGTTAGGCACCAGAGTATAATTTCTGTACTTCACTGTATTTTCTTAACTTATTTTATGAAAATAAAACTCTTAAAAGTAATAGGCATTGTGGAACAAAGCTAACATCATACGTAAAAGCCAAAGCCCATTAACAATAAATTGTCAATGAAAATAGCCCTGTAACAAAGCTTCTAATCAAGATGGATTTAATGTAGATAACTGAATTGTAAGAGCAGACTATCATTAGGACTAGTAGATTTTCCAAGTTCCTTTTGTTTCTTAGGTGCTTTTTAAAGACTTACCCTCAAAATCAGCAGGCTAAAGAAAAAAAAGAAAAGTACTATCATATACTCTTACTTCACAGAGATGCTCTCTAAACTCAAATTCCCTTAATACTTAACTTTGACGGTTGTATATATAGTTTAATCAAGTATCTTTTAAAAAGAAGAAAAATCTAAGTAATACTTGACTGTATTTTGCACATAATTCGCTATTGCTTAACACATTATTTATGAAACTGTTAATATTTTACAGGCATAATTTAAAAACAAGTTACTCATAAAAGTGAAAACCAAATGCCGTCCCCTGGTTATAGGTCTTCTCCACTGTAGCTTCAGTGCTGCCTGAAACTCGTTTCAGTGGGTTACAGATTCTACGCATACTATGGAAACATTCTTCCCTATATTCTCCTCCATATAAACATTCTATGGCTTTTTTAATTTTATGACTCAAGAGTTACTCATTTGGCCGTTTGGGTTCTTCCATGGTGATATCCACCTCCACCCATTAACTGGGGAGCTAATGATAGAGGAAAACAACTGAACCTTGTTGGGGGTGGAGGGAGGTGTATTCTGACAATTATTGCGTACCTCCTCTGTGTTAGGCTCTGGATTGTAAGGGAAGTCAATATAGCAATACCTGGACAATTAAGGTTTACGTACAGGACAATTAAGTATAACAATATCTAGATAATAAAGGAAATTAAAGCCTTTAGGTATGTCTCTCTCTTCTGTGAAATGTGGGAATAATACCTATCTTAGAGAATTAAATATGATAATGCATGTGAAGTTCTTAGCAGTACACAATTTACAATAGTGTTATTATTATCATCAATATCATTTGTATCAATTATACTGCCACTGCCCCCATCACAAATTTAGCGACTAAGGCAAGGGCAGACAGTTTACTTTCTACCAAAGCAGAATGGACAATATAATGCAGTCACTACAGACACATGATTTTCTTCGAATAAATGATGACCTTGCGCTCCTAAGAGTTTACAATCACATTCATACATTACTTTTTATTTTTTAATGAAATACCATTCAGATGGGTAAAACTAACAACCTGGGACATTCAGCATGTTGCAAAAACACCCAGAGGGAAAATGAGATGTGGAGAAAAGGAGCAAGAAGAGAAATTACAAAGGGAAAGAAATAAAATGTAGTCTCAAACTCCAACAACTATAAATGAACCACTTTTAAAGGATAATTAGACAAAAGGAGGAGAGGTTCTGCTCAATTTCCTCTTTTAAAAGTTTGGTGAAAGTAAGTCTAAAGTCTGTGAAGGATTACTCTAAAACAAATATATAGTAACTAGTAAAACCAATCGCCCCCACCTCCAAAGTTGAGAGAATTCGAAGCTGAAACGCAATGAAGGTGCACGCTGTAGAAGAAACTCAACGTTCCCTGGAAAGAAACGAGCAGGGAGTGCGGCCAAGCCAGTCTCCAACAACTATAAATGAACCACTTTTAAAGGATAATTAGACAAAAGGAGAAGAGGTTCTGCTCAATTTCCTCTTTTAAAAGTTTGGTGAAAGTAAGTCTAAAGTCTGTGAAGGATTACTCTAAAACAAATATATAGTAACTAGTAAAACCAATCGCCCCCACCTCCAAATTGAGAGAATTCGAAGCTGAAACGCAATGAAGGTGCACGCTGTAGAAGAAACTCAACGTTCCCTGGAAAGAAACGAGCAGGGAGTGCGGCCAAGCCAGTAGCTGATCGGGACGGCAGCCAATCCCGGGGAACTGCGGACCGGCATGAGGCTGTCGGGGGGAAGCGGAGGCCCAGGCCGGGATCGAGGGCTCCGGTCCACCCAGGGAACCCAAAACAACCGCCCCGCACTCACAATTCTATCATCCACTCTCCCTCCAGCAGCTCTCTCCAGTTCTCGTCCGTGATGATGCGCACGTCGCTTCGCCTCCCGTGGGCCCACGGGGCCCCCCAAATCAACAGCAGCAACACTGTGCCAAGAATCACTAGACTCCCGGAGGGCGCCATGCCGGCCGCTAGCCCACCCCTCAGGGAGCACAGCAGCACCCGCCACCCTGCGTCCGCTCCTCACTTCCGTCCTCGCGGGATCTGCTCATGCGCAGGACTGCGCGACGAGGCGCGCGCGCGCCTTAAAGATACCCAATGCGCATGACAGGGCCAGGTCCTAGCGGTCTGGTTGAGTAGGGAGAGAGAAGCGGTCCTATTCCTGGTGCGCACCACAGAAAAGCGCCCTCTTTCCACCTCCTGGCGTGCCTCCATATTGTTAGGGAGGAGGAGAAGAAACGCTGGGCGCGGAATAAAAAATGGGGCGGGGCTTCGGAGAGCAACGGTTTGAAAGTGTGCGTCAGGATTTGGGCGCCAAATGATTTGTGTTCCTATGTACTCAACCCTACTGGTAAGTTTACCCTAAAGAAGTTTACAATTAAATGACCCTCAGAATTTTCTTTGGTTTCCTTTGAAAGTTTTGTAGTAAAACTAATAGATGTTTATATAGAGTCAGAATATTGGTTTACTTCTGGGGGATTATAGACTGGAAAGGTGCCCCAGAGAACCTTATTGGGTACCCTTTATGGCAATTCTTGTTTTGAACAGTTGTTACAAGGGTGTACACAAATGTAAAAAAAAAAAATGGCTGTACATGTTAAGATTAGTGCATTTTATACACTTTAGGATGTATGTTATTTTCTCAAAATTTTTAAAAAAATTTAGCATCTCGGTAGTTACAGATCAAAATTTCATAATAGAACAAGACACAGGCTTGTAACAAATATTGGAGATATTTTTTCTCAAGCTCTTGTAAATACAAATACTAAGAAAAATGTGCACCGTCTTTATAAAGTATTAGTCAAATGAAAATAATTGTCTTTACACCTCCTCACCTTACACTAAACTAATTCCAATTAGTTGACTTCCCCACTTCATGGAAAGACCCTTTCTGAAACCCTATTGTTTTTTCTCCTTCCTCACTAGCTGCTCATTATGAAACTTTTTGCTGGTCCTCTTCTACCTGATTTCTAGACAGTATCTAGCCCCAGGATGTTGTACTGGCCCTGTCCATCTCTTCTCATACACATACTCCTCCAGAAAACCTCAACCCTGCCTTTAAAAGCCATAATATGCCAATAGTTCCAGCCCTGGCCCTTCAGGGAACTTTGCACATACATATTCAACTCTTTGCTGGACATCTCTTAGATATCTATTAGGCAGCTCAAACAAAACTTGTCCAAAAAATAAAATTCTTCTCCTCCTAGTTTTCCATCTCAGAAAGAGCCCCACGGTCCGTTGCGTTGCTCAGGAAAAAATGTATGTTTTAATTCTGTATTGCTCTCTCTCTCTCTCTCTCTCTTCATCCCCTCCCCATGTACTCCATCAGCAAGTCCCATAAACTCTACCTCCATAAAATGTCCTGAAACCTGACCACTAATTTCCATCTCCACAACCAACACCCTAGTCCAAATTTCTATCATCTCTTGTTGTTACTACAGTAATAGATTCCTAACTGATCTCCCTGTGTCTTCTCTTGCTTCTCTAAATAAGATCAAGCCATTCTCCTTAAAACCCTCCTAAGTGCTTCCCACTGCTTCCCAGTTAAGAAGGCCTGTACTACCTGACACCTGCCTAACTGCTACCTCGCGTAGTACTCCATCTCCTCCTCCCTACTACGCTACACTCCAGTGGTTCCCTGAAGATGTCAAACTCATTCTTACTCTAGAGAATTGTCATTAGCTTTTCTCTCTGCCTGGACTACTTTGTCACTGCTCTTCACATCATTCCTTTTTGTCATTGATCCCCAGTTTAAATGTTACCTCTAAAGGGCATTTCCTAACCACTCCACCTAAGGAAGGCTCCCAGTCATATTGTTGAATAATATTGTCTATCACATTAGTCCATTCTAATTCTCTGCATACTGTTAAACTGACATGCATGTTCATTATCTCATTTCTTTCCCTACTCAAGAATATAAGTTTCATGACAGGAGAAACTGTTTTGTTCATCTATAATCTCCCAGGTATGATGCCAAGCCACTTTTAAAACCTGGCACATAATAAATTCTCAATAAATATTCGTTGAATGAATGAGGAAAATCATAATTATAGATATGTCATGCTTTTATTATATTGTATGGGCTGCATTAATAAAAAGTTTGTAAATATATTCTTTTTTATAATATGGAGATAATACTTGCCATTTATACCTCACAAGGTTGGTAAAAGGATAAAATTAATTTATGTTCATAAATATTCTTTTTAAACTGCAAATCATTCTTGATAATTTGTTATTAAAATTTCATTTTAGGGGAATGTTTTATATTATAAAAGAAATGCCATGTTATGATTAAAATGTGCAAAGTACAGAAGGTTATAAAGTGAAAAGAAATATCCCCTAAAATCTTTTCCTGTCTTCTGCCAGAATTTGCACCCCGTAGGCAACTGCTATTAACATTTATTTTGTATGCTTCCAGAGCTTCTCTAAGCACATGAACTATTCTTTAAAAAAACACAAACAAATGAGCTCATACCTCAGCTACTTCTCAGTTTTTTTCACTTAATAGATGCATATCAATTTAAAAGAATTCTAACATAGTCTCTGAAATATTTGCTTAAAAATATAAATATTAATAAATATAAGAAAATATCTATATAATATTATGGTGTTAATTTACTATATTAATAATTACTAACCATTTATTTAAAATTAATTATTATAAAGTTATGACTTAATATCAGATGGTATTCTTTATATTTGATAATATTTAATATTGATATTATTGTTATTGATATTATTAATATCATTTTTCTCATGCTCTGAATGCTACTTTATTCTCTCAGGAGTTAAAACTTGTATGCAGACAAGACCACAGATAGTCTTAACCATTGAGTTTTATTTAGCACACCACACTTCTTCCCTGTATCAACAGGGAAATATATTCTACCATGCATCATGAGTGTGTTCTGAAATTAGTGTCACCCCATGAAAAATCAAAAAACAACTTAAGATAGTGTCTAAGGGAGTGGATTCTGGAGCCAGACAGGGTTCAAATCCTGCCTTTACCATTTGTGTGCTCCATGATGTTTGACAAGCTGCTTTACACCTTTGTATCTTGGTGTCTGTGTTAAAAAGAGATAATGATGGTCCTACTTCCTAGAGTTGTTATGAGGATTAAGTGAATTAACAATTGAAAGTGTTTAAATCAAATCCTCCAAGAAACAGATGTTAAAATGGGATTAGATATACAAGGGATTTTATGGGGGAAAGAGCTGTGTAGGAGACGGGGAAGAGGAGCAAGAGTAGGCAGGAATGCTTTCAGTGGCAATACTGAGCTGACACCTGTGAGGGAACAAGGGGAAGGAGGACTGGCTGGCAAAGCCTCAGACCATAGGACAGCTCTAAGAAAGATTAAAAAAGACAGGGAATCCTGAGCCAGAATTGCTCAGTAGAGGAATCCCACTAATAATCAGGCAGGAAAGGCTGGCACTAGTATATCTGCCACTCTGTCATGGTTTGGAAGCATTGGTTAGAGGGGTGGGGAAGGGAACATGGCCTCGGCATTCACAGTGGCAGCAGCCATCAGCAGTGCTCCCCACAGCAGGCTTTTCTGAAGGCGATCTGAGTAGTGCATCTCAGTGACTGGCACACAGAGCCTGGCATATAGAAAATACTAAGAAATGTTTGATAAATGATGAGACCTAAGAGTATAGGGCAACACAGCCCAATAATAATGAGAATCACATATATAATTTTTAATTTTCTAATAGTCACATTTTTAAAGTAAAAACTTTAATATTTTAATAATGTAATTGAAAAACATCCAATAGCCCTATATCAAACTCAATTTTCATGGCAGAATATACTTTCTTTCCAGTTATCCAGAGAACTTTTACTAAAATTAACTTATGTAAGACCACAGAAAAAAGCTAAAAAATTCCAGAAAGTAGAGGAGATACCGTATTAGTGATTAGCCTGTCTGGGGGTTACCTCCACCCTTGGCTAGCTGGCAATGGACAGTTTTCCCTTGAGCCTCCACTTTTCAGAATATCACCAATTAGAACAAATACAAATCATAATGCTCCAGCAATGTGCTGGTGGCCCCCTGTGCCAGGCTAACTAAAGGTTAGCCCTTTAGGTAATGAAGAGGTCTTTTAGGTCTTTTAAGAGGGAAAGTAGAGGGTAGGTATCCACCTAAATGTTGTCTCCTCAGACACCTTCCCTGTCTATTTCATCCCCTTATCCTTCTTTATTTTTCATTTATAGCACTTATCACTGATTGACATTATACTGTATTTTTGTTTGCCTATTTTGATTATTGTGGCTGTCCTTCATTAGTATATCAGTCAGTTCCACAAGAACTTTATCTCATTTACCACTTTATTCTTAGTGCTTAGAAGTGTGCCTGGCCTACAGTAGGAGCTCCATAAATATTTGTTTAAAAATTAAAGCATTGCAAATTACTTAGCACATTGCTTGACCCATGAGCATTTAAGAAATCTTAGCTGACTTTCACTTCATCATCATCAACATCCTTCCCACCATCCTCTTTTACCACCCTAATATCTCACATGGTACTTTATATAGTACATGTACTTTATACTTTTCAAATTCTTTTGTCATTTCTAAAGAATAAATAATACCTTTAAAGCAAAGCTGTGATTGTGTAGTTATAGTTGGGATGTTCACAAATAATAAACTTGGGAAGTGCAAGGGGAGGATTTGTCTCCGGTAATTGACTTTTTTTTTAGATGGCCCTGCCTGAAAATTAGTCTTTTCCCACCAAGTAAGCATGCATGTTTTCCTCAGGACAAATGATGACAAATTATAAATTGCTCATCTTAAATTCTTTTAAAACTTGACTCTTAAAAGAGTCTTTAGTGGTTGAACAGTGCCCTGGATCTTTCTAGGTCAAACTCTGAAACAGAGGATCACGTTTTATGACTCTTCAACTTTCAGAGTTTCTCTTATAGGGTCAGTAATTTCTTCCATACACTCACTCTCCCCTCTGTCTACTCCCATTGTCCCTAGCAAATCAGATCCCCATGTGGAACGGCTTGCCTGCATGTGCTTTCATGTAAATAAGGAAAAGGCAGCCTTTGCTCCCACACAGAAAAGCCTGCAGGGAATCTGATTTGGAAGGGATGATGGCCAGGGCCTAGGCTTTGTCAACAGAATACAGCCTGAATTTTGAGCCCCACTTGCCCCTTGGCAGGAGGCCCTAGAACACAGTGGCAGGCAGGGAAAGTCTCTTTTCTGTCATGCTCTTAGGAGATGACTACCTGCTAAATCAGAGTGAGTAAACAAGTCTTTACTGGGAGGCAGTCTGGCACGGTGGGGACTGCATAGCACAGTGCTTAAGAATGAGGGTTCTAAAGCTAATCTTCTGGCTTTGAATCCTGTCTCTCCCAATTAATAAGCAAGTATACAGTCTCTCTGTAAATTAGTCGGGTTATTTTGAAGCTTAAATGAGTCAGTATATTTAGTACATATTATTTATTAATATAAGGTAGCTCTGAAAACCCAGGAAACTTGTTCAGGTAGTGCCTCCTCATACATTTATGATTACTTGCAGAAAGTACAGTTCCATCTAAGAATGCCTCACTTTTAATGCCTTCCACCCACCCTTTCTGGAGTCAAAGCCTGGCAGACTGCATTGAGTCATTCAGCAAGCATCTGAACCCTTACTGTGAGCAGCAGTAGAAAAAAGCATTTAAAGAGACCACCCCACCCCCAGAGCATGACATCAAAAAGTCAGTCAAAATAAGAAAATGGTATTTATTGCCCTAAAACAAAAGTGACCTTATTAGGAAGCATGGTACAGGCCTTCTGGTTACTAGAATGGACTCATGCTTTAGAGATAGGTCATCTTTGAATTCAGGCTCCCTCTCTTATTGACTATGTGACCTCAAGTTTTTTAACTCTGTGAACCTCAATTTTCCCATAGTTAAAATGAGGGGGAAGGTTATAAGGGTTATTGTAAGGATTGAGATCATATTTAGAACAAAAGGGGTCTGGTACATAGGAGGTAATTAGTCAATAGTAGCCTTTGTCTTTATCAATATTTTCTATTACCATCATCTAATTTCCTTTATAAAGACCTATGATGGCTCCTAATATCCACAGGTTAAAGTCCAGATACATCACATTCCAGGTCGTTTGGAATTTGTCCCCACTTACCTTTCTATGGACTCCTTTTACCATGAACCTCACAGCCCAAATAAATGGAACTATTTGCAGTTTCTAGAACTTTCTATGACACATACCCAGCCTTTGCATCCACTGCCCCTTCTGTGCAGTGACCCTTCTTGCTTCTTTTGCCCAGTCAAGTATCATTCTTACAAAAAACATATTTAGTTTAGAGAATAATAATAAACATATCCTTACCACTGGTTACGAAACAGGAATAGAAGGACTCTGAGCATCCCACTGATTTTTTTAAAACAGCATTTGTGATATTTGTATTTTAAATGCTGTGATTGTGTAGTTATAGTTGGGATGTTCACAAATAATAAACTTGGGAAGTGCAAGGGGAGGATTTGTCTCCGGTAATTGACTTTTTTTTTAGATGGCCCTGCCTGAAAATTAGTCTTTTCCCACCAAGTAAGCATGCATGTTTTCCTCAGGACAAATGATAACAAATTATAAATTGCTCATCTTAAATTCTTTTAAAACTTGACTCTTAAAAGAGCCTTTAGTGGTTGAACAGTGCCCTGGATCTTTCTAGGTCAAACTCTGAAACAGAGGATCACGTTTTATGACTCTTCAACTTTCAGAGTTTCTCTTATAGGGTCAGTAATTTCTTCCATACACTCACTCTCCCCTCTGTCTACTCCCATTGTCCCTAGCAAATCAGATCCCCATGTGGAACGGCTTGCCTGCATGTGCTTTCATGTAAATAAGGAAAAGGCAGCCTTTGCTCCCACACAGAAAAGCCTGCAGGGAATCTGATTTGGAAGGGATGATGGCCAGGGCCTAGGCTTTGTCAACAGAATACAGCCTGAATTTTGAGCCCCACTTGCCCCTTGGCAGGAGGCCCTAGAACACAGTGGCAGGCAGGGAAAGTCTCTTTTCTGTCATGCTCTTAGGAGATGACTACCTGCTAAATCAGAGTGAGTAAACAAGTCTTTACTGGGAGGCAGTCTGGCACGGTGGGGACTGCATAGCACAGTGCTTAAGAATGAGGGTTCTAAAGCTAATCTTCTGGCTTTGAATCCTGTCTCTCCCAATTAATAAGCAAGTATACAGTCTCTCTGTAAATTAGTCGGGTTATTTTGAAGCTTAAATGAGTCAGTATATTTAGTACATATTATTTATTAATATAAGGTAGCTCTGAAAACCCAGGAAACTTGTTCAGGTAGTGCCTCCTCATACATTTATGATTACTTGCAGAAAGTACAGTTCCATCTAAGAATGCCTCACTTTTAATGCCTTCCACCCACCCTTTCTGGAGTCAAAGCCTGGCAGACTGCATTGAGTCATTCAGCAAGCATCTGAACCCTTACTGTGAGCAGCAGTAGAAAAAAGCATTTAAAGAGACCACCCCACCCCCAGAGCATGACATCAAAAAGTCAGTCAAAATAAGAAAATGGTATTTATTGCCCTAAAACAAAAGTGACCTTATTAGGAAGCATGGTACAGGCCTTCTGGTTACTAGAATGGACTCATGCTTTAGAGATAGGTCATCTTTGAATTCAGGCTCCCTCTCTTATTGACTATGTGACCTCAAGTTTTTTAACTCTGTGAACCTCAATTTTCCCATAGTTAAAATGAGGGGGAAGGTTATAAGGGTTATTGTAAGGATTGAGATCATATTTAGAACAAAAGGGGTCTGGTACATAGGAGGTAATTAGTCAATAGTAGCCTTTGTCTTTATCAATATTTTCTATTACCATCATCTAATTTCCTTTATAAAGACCTATGATGGCTCCTAATATCCACAGGTTAAAGTCCAGATACATCACATTCCAGGTCGTTTGGAATTTGTCCCCACTTACCTTTCTATGGACTCCTTTTACCATGAACCTCACAGCCCAAATAAATGGAACTATTTGCAGTTTCTAGAACTTTCTATGACACATACCCAGCCTTTGCATCCACTGCCCCTTCTGTGCAGTGACCCTTCTTGCTTCTTTTGCCCAGTCAAGTATCATTCTTACAAAAAACATATTTAGTTTAGAGAATAATAATAAACATATCCTTACCACTGGTTACGAAACAGGAATAGAAGGACTCTGAGCATCCCACTGATTTTTTTAAAACAGCATTTGTGATATTTGTATTTTAAAAGCATAGAAGATAAAATCCCTATGTTTATATACCACCTCTGCAGTGAAACCAAGGGACTTAATTGTGACCTAAAAGCCAAAAGAGCTCCTATTCATTCTGCAGGACGCTGTTAGCAATTAAATATTCAATTGCAATTTCACTAACATTCTATTATGGAGAAAAAAACAGTATTTCAATATTTTAAACTTAAGCAGTTTTCCCTACTACATACTGCTTTTATTGAAAATCTGTCACATGATTCCTTCGTTTCAAATAAATATGGTGGGGTGTTTTGTTTGTTTGTTTTTGGTCTTTTCATATTTTTCTTGACTGGCGGTAAGGAGCCACTAGGTGGCAGAAGATGCTTCTTGTGGTTACAGTGAGACAACATTTTTTAAAAATTTCAGCAGGAAACACGTTCTATAAAACATAAAGAGCATCACACTGTAGACTTCATAGGTTAGCATGTTGGACCAGCATACCGTGGCCCTGCACTTAACAATTTGGGCCTATTGGCTGTGTTTTAGTACCACCACCACCACCACCAATAATATCAGAGCCACCAATGTTTACTGAATGATGGCCACATACCAGGCAGTGGACCGAGGTATCTGCACATTATGCTTTTTATTCTTCACAGCTGTTGGAGGTGATTAATATTGTTCGTCTACTTTCTGCAGAAGAAGCTGGGTCTTGAAAAAGAAGAAATAATGTGTCCAAGACATTGGTAAGTAGCAAAAGTCAGATCCAAACCAGCTCAAATTTCAGAGCCTGAGGGATTAACAACTTCACAGACCCTCAGAACTGGGAGAATATTTAATTTTTTTGGAAAGATTAACCACTCTATGATATAATTAGGTTTAGGCATGTATTGACTTAATATATTTCCTAATATTTTAGATGTCATATTAATAACTGTGAGTTCAATCCTTAAAGACCTTATGAAATGAAGAGTTTATTAAGGACTTTACAGTTGTGTAAGCCCAACCGCTCCCATTTAGTGACCATCTGAATCCAATTCCTACTCATCATGTTTAATTCATCCTCTCAAAATCTCCTTTATACCTTTGTGCCAGGAAAAGTCAATTCATGAATTAAAACCAATTTTTCCCACAGTGTTTTATAGATATTTCTCTAGCCAAAAATTTTTAAGTTCTTGCAACAGTGCAATGGACAAGAGCAATTATTATAATGGTGTCAATGTACACATGTAGAAAATTAAGTGAAATCAAATGTCAGAATCCTTAGAAAATTCATTTTTGCAATCCAGTGTGCTCATCTTCAGGAAACTACACCATACTCTAAAGGCTCAAGCTGACAGAAAACACCCAGCATAGCAAAGAGGCATTTTCCTTTATTTCCTAAATTACACTTAACAGCCTTAAAGATATAATGGGAAAAGTGAGAGCTTATGGAGACAATATTAGTTAATGTTAAGCTTTGTGGCAATGTGTGACTATTGTAGATCTGAAATGGTCAGTGATCATAGAGATATTTCTTAAAGCTACCTAACTCAAAGGAAATCTCATAGGGCTGGTCCTCCTTCTAATTGGTAAAGTTTTATTTAGTGTCTTTATCTTCGTATTTCACTTCTATTTTTCATCTTTGGAAAAAAAGCAGAAGAGGGGGAGGAATGGGGAGAGTGAAGGTGATATCCCATACTTAACACAGATTTTATTTCAGTAAAAGAAAGAGTGTAAATCTTCATGTTCCTGTTGCAAGGGTGGGAGTACAGGCTAAAAGAAAGAAGAAAGACACATCTCGTTTGTCTTTATTATTTGTTATGACATTGTCCTTACATCATCTAGATTGAATGATGACATCTTTCACTACATTCACAGAGTGTCTTATAGTTTAGAAGATGCTTTCAAAAACATCAGCTTATCCTTTGAAACAGAGAAGGGAGAGAAGTGGACAGATTAGAAAGGCTATCAGTAGTTCATTGGATGTTGGTTTGTCGTGTTAAATGTGGTACTTATTTGTATTATTAGTCAAACTAGATTATAGTGTTTTTTATTTTACATTATGAAGATCTTCACACTACAATCAGCAAAATGAAAATTCAAAAATAATACTCCTTTATTTGGTTTCTTTCTAAATTATTCAAACTTTAGTATGTTGGTCAAATTTAAATGTTTAATATGGTTGTACATTTTAAAGGTGTTGATGAATTATGAATATATAAAATTGAGAACTTTTCTAAAAACAAAAATAAGTAAAACTTTCAAGAACCCAATTTCTTAGGAATTTGGAATAAAAAGTTGCTATCACACTAAATTTTACTGACAAGTAACTTTTCAATATTCTGATTTCCGTAAGTTAAATAAATAAACAAGTATGTTAGGGATTAACAGATTAAGGCTATTTACCATTACTTCATTGATTAACTGATTTTTCATAAGCTGTTTACTGGCTTCTTTTTTCTTTTTTTTATGCAAAGAATTTATATTTACCTTTAACAATTTTGAGAGACTTCTTACATCAAAAGAGATCTCTCTTCTAATTTTGCAACTTGAATTACCATGCATTGAGAATGTAATTGTCCTGTAAAATATTATCTTATGTTGGGTAATATTCAATTCTATCCATTAATTGTTTAGGAAGAGATTACTGGATGCATGATTTATATACATGTTGTTATACAATAAGATCTCTAAATGTCAAATGTTTTATATATTCGTCAGTACCTTTCTCCCCTTCTCTGAACCTCTGTAACAGCCTTTGTTTTCCTATTAAAAATATCTGTATTTTTAGTTACCGAATAAGCATCAAAAGCCAACACTCCATTGAAAATAGTAGTGTAGTTTTAACAGAAAGGGGGCAGCGTTGGCAAAGACATGAATGATAAAAGATTTCATTTTGTGTAAAATTGCTTTCCCTTTCCCATTGTACTAGAGTAAGTCTAGCTACTGTGACAGTTACATCTCAAAATGTCAATGGCTTAACAAAAAAAGTTTATTTTTGCTCTCATGTAAAGTCTAATAAAGATATTCTGGGTTGGAGGACAGCCTTCAGTGTTGTCATTTGGGGAATCTGTCTCCTTCCTCACTATGGCTCCACTGTCTGTTGGGAGCTCTGCTGAATCTTCTGTATCCAGCTGACAAAGAGAGAGTAAGAAGATATGGAAGATCACATACGAAGTTTGTATGACAGGCCTGGATATGGCCAATATGGTTTTGCCCTTGTTCCACTGGCTGTAACTCTGTCAAGTAGAAGGGAGGCTGGAAAATATTTAGCCATATGATCAAGGGGTAAAGGAAAAGGTTTTGTTGAACATGCAGCAGTCCTTGCCTAGCCCGTGACAGTAGTTCTATGCAACAGGTTACATGCAGCACCTCTTTCACATCTTCCTTATGCAGAAGCATTTGAAGCTTGGGACTGCAGGATTTTCAAGCCGCATCCCTGCCCTGCTACCACATCTAATCTTTGAACCTCTAGAGTAAGACTATAGGGAAATGTGTTATTGAGAAATCTCAAGTGTATGGCTCTGGAAAGCTGTAGAGCAGATAGCAGTTATGTGTGGGCATGAAAGAAGGAAAAAGGACACGCAGTAGCTGAAGCAGTTCAGATTTTACCTGAATCCGCTGAGGGCACTGCCCAAATGCCATAACAAGAGCTCTGTCACCATCTTTCCAGCTTTCCTCTGAATCCATTTCTAGTGCTTTTAGCATGACCTGGCCTCCATCTCCAGCAGCCAGAGAACTCATGATCAATGTGGCCAATATTCATTAGTAGAATGAGAACTGAAAAACTGAACAAGAAAATTAATGAGGTTATAGGTTCATTAGGCAAATGTATTAATGAATAGTGATTTTTTAAATAGATTAAAACTTTTTTAATCCTTATGCTATAAAGGATACCATGCCTAGCACTGAATTGGGTAATTGAGTTGTTTGCTTATTGAAAATTACATTCAAGTGTATTGATCACCTTTTCAGTCTTTGAAGCTGACTGAATGTAAATTTTATTTTATGGTTTAAATTTGAATGTCATAAAATGGCCTTAACCCCTTTTATGGAAATTAAGAGATGGGAGATTTTATGGAGATTAATCCCTCTTCTGTTAACCTGTTTTATTGTTGCTACCCTGGAGACCACAGGAGTCACAATCTTGATAAATTCATAACCCAAATGAATTAGCCTCCATACAATCGATGTTTTTATACATTTATTCATTTCAAATAATTCTTGAAGTGATTTACATTTTTGTCAAAAATAAATATGGATTTTTTTACTTGCCTGAGTTTCATAAATATGCAGCCCAGAATCTTAGTTTATAAATATAATATTAATTCACTGAAATATTCATTTTGTGAGTCTAAAGTTATTAATTAGTACATCACAAAATGTCATAGCAAAAAAGCAATTTATTGGTATCAGTGGCTTTTATTGGTTACAGATCATGAAAATGTACAATTATAATGAAAAATCTTATCCATAATAACAAGCTTAATATAATATTCTATGCTAAATTACCTAATATTCTACTGGATACAATTCATTCTAAATTTTAGAATAATAATTGTTATTATGAAATATACACATAAAATAGGAACCACTGAAGTCATGCCAGAAGGTAATATGCTTTTGTTAGTGTTACTAATGGTTATGACCTGAAATATTTTCTTAATTCTTATAAAAAAAATCTTTGCTTGAATTACAACATTTTTCCCCCTAAAAAATTGTGTCTTTCTCTTTTAGAATCATGACCCCCTCAAAATCTCTGTGAAGATTCTGGGAAAAATAGAAATTTAGCCCCAAATGACTGTATAACTCCATAAATTCATTCATGTCAGCCAGAAATAACATCTTATGCACACATTAATTTAAGAAGAAAAATAAGTCTACCTTGCTATTTTCCCTAAAGAATGTTCAGCAAGATTCTGCATATTAGCTTGATTCAGATGCAGCCTCTTGCTGGAGTGCAGAGGAGAAGAGAAGCACCCCTTTTTAGCTTCTTGGGGTCTCCCTCTATCCAGCATTCTACCCATCCAGGCCAGAGTAATGCCATCCCTAAAATCACTCCCCACTAAAGACCTACAAAATAGTTTTTGCCAGAACTAGTAATTAGTGGTCCCTGAGGCCTGTTTTAAGTCTACACTTCCCCTCCAGGGAAGCAGAGGAGCTTTGGAGCCTGAGTTTGTTACCCCAGCTCAGCCATTCACTATTCGTGGAACCTTAGGCAAATCACTGAACATCTTTCTTCTTCAGTTTCCTTTAAATGTAAAATGGGGACAATAATAGTAGTTATTTCATAAGCAGTAGTGTGAGGGCTTGTTTCTGTTTACAAAGACAATTGCTAAATTTTCAGCAATTTTGCAAGGCATTGTTAAACATAGCCTCTATTAAAATTAAATTACATAATTTATTAAATGGTATATTAAATCAAAAGTAATAAATACCCAAAACTCATCACTTTCTAATTCTTTTACTACATTATCTATGTTTTTCAGGTTATTTACATCTATTGTATCTGTTTGGGGCAAATCACATACAATGATGGCTACTGTGAATTTCCGCCCAATACCCTTGTTCAGTGATATCAAGTTGGTAGCTTGGAATCAGCCATGATGCAGAGTATTTACACATGGAAATCAGCAAACACTACAAATAAGGCATTTTTTTTGGAGAGCTGGTTGTTAAACATTTATCAGTAAACTAGTAGATCATTGTTCATAGTATTTTTAGGATTACTCATCCTGAAATAAATGTGAATTATATGTTATTTAATGTGTAGTATGTATTAAAATGTATGTATGTCAAATATGTAAATATAAAATCAAAATAGCATGTTTGGCCCTAAGTTCTCAAAACATGTTAGCAGTTACTATTTCAGAGTTGTATTTATTTCATTTTTGCATCTGTATTCTTTCCTCCCTTTCTCCTTCAGTTCTGTTTTCTTTCCTCTTCACTCTTTCCCTTCCCCAGTGTCCAAACCTCAAGCGGTGGGGCATGGGGAAATAAGAACTGGAAATCATTCCAGTTCCCGGTTTCCTCCTCGCCTCCAGTGACTTGACTTTGGCCCCCGTCTCCGCCAGATCAGACTGCATGTATCTGATTTAGCCTTTGGGGCCCCAGGCATCAAACAGCGAGCCCGCCAAGTAGCAGCCCTCGGGAATCCCTGCTCTGTGGAGCCACTTGAGGGAAGGCAGGGGAGAGGGTTGCAGAAGCTCTGCAGGACTCACCCTGGCAGACCTCCTCCTGCTCATCCTAGCTTTCTTATGACCCATTTAGTTCTAGAAAGTCAAAGCTCCTTTAGAAACTGCTGTTTTTCAAAAAGTAATGCCCCCCCCAGACCACTCCTGAGATCCATTAGAAAGGTTTTAGGAAATGTTCTTGAGAGTATATTTGATTAAATGACTTTAAGCAGCTGTAAACAGTAGTTGACTATTCTGTGAAAAAGTGTGCAAATATAATGACTTACTACGATTTTCATTTGCCCCCAGTTCTGGAAGCTCTTCATCTTTGCTCTTCTCTATTTTATATCCCTCATCAAGAGCTTTTCTGTGTAGTGACTGTTGTCAAACTGGCTCTGGTTTTGAGAATCAGATGCCCATCCTGTTTGTCAATTTAATGGCCTGCTTTGATTCATTTTGTGATTAGAAATCCCTCTGCCCCATGGCCTAATTCAGTGTTCATTAGCTTGCTTTTTAATGAAGAACTTTGAGATTTAGTTTTATCAAGTCTTGGCTGTGCTCTATTTTAAATTTTAGGTTACCATTTTGTCCTAATTCAAACAAACTAACAGTAACACCTGAATCTTGAGTTGCAGCTGAGCATACAAAAATACCGATTTGCTATGATATAGCTACCTATAATTATAATTTTAGTAAGCAGAGTTGTTTATAGATTCCAAAATTTAGAACAAAAAAAGGGATTTTTATTTATGACTTTTGCCACAATCCCTAATGATCTTCCTAGTATGCTTTATGATCAAAATAGTTCAGAGATCTATAACTTTTTTATTTATGACATTGGTGCTAATTTATCTAAATATATAAACTTTTATTTTCAAATAATGATAGATAAAAAAATTAAATTCTAGGATAAGACCTCTCTTTTAATTACTTAGTCCCTTAAAAAATTTTTAAGTCAAATACTTTCATCTCAATTCTGCTGCCCAAATCAACTTAAAGAGGCTATGGATTGGCATCAGCCCATCACCTGGGCAAACTGGTTGCTTTTTGGGCTAAAGGTGGCTGTCTGCAGGGGTGAGCTAATCATATAACACAGCCCTGGTATTATCCCAGCTGCAAAGCAGATGGTGCAGTGAGCAGCGGGCAGCTGTGGGGGGCCTGCCCTGTGGTTTCATCTGCTTACAAACCACAACACACTCTCCCTCTACAAGGGGCTTGAAAACATTCCCTTCCCTCTCTGCCTCCCAATCCCCAGTGGAGATATGAAATATAAATTCCTTTGCCTAATAAAAGATAATAGAATAATTTTCAGAATGTTGAAAAAAATTTCTTTGAGTTCAGGCAGAAGGGCTAAGATCCCCCTGAAAAATAGGTGTTGTAATGTGTTTGAACGTTGGGCCATCTGCTAGGCTATGGGAACCTGCGGGGTGCAGCTGGCTGTGTGACACATCAGGGTGTCACTAATTAATACATCACATGAAAAATGTTAACACCATATTGTAGGAAATGGTGCCCAGTCGTCATGTGAAGCTAAAATTTAAAAGATAGATCTATAAGTGGTTTGTTCTGATTGGTGTGGCCTAATGTGAGATTTAAACTGTGTCATATTTGGGAGTATAAGTAATAAGCTTTTCATTCACTTATTACTGAGAATAGCTATAAAGCCTGTCACTTTTCCTTTTATACCATGAAAAGCCAATAAATTAATCTTTGAAAATGTGAAATATCCTCCTCTATTAAATACAATGCAATCAAACAATATTCTACCCAAAAGCATATCTCCCAGTGTCTTGCCAATGGGTTTCAGCCCCGGGCAAGTTCTCTATGGATTCAGTGTGACCAAAGAAAATTGACAGCTGAATGCTCTTTGGGGTGAAAGGGTTATACCCAACTTTATTTCCAGGTGGCAGGTCAGTAACTAGAATCCCATTCACCCAGAGTGAGTCTGTATGCAGCAAGCCAGTCTCTGCCTCTGGGCCCCTCTGCACAGCTGTCTTTTAGGCTTCTCTTCACAGCCGTCCCACACAGCCATCCTTTGGGCCTCTCTGCCTGCACAGCAGTCCTCTGGGCCTCTGTCCTCAGCGCTGCCACCACTCCAGCCTCTGCTCTGCTCTCCGGCAGCCTTGCAGCCCTGCCACCATGTCATGCCCAGAGCACTGGGCAGAGCTCTTTTTATAGAGTCAACAGCAATGTAGTGCCCACAAGTGTGCAGTGAGCTAGTCAACCACAGCCAGGTGAGAATCCTGGCCACAGGAACTCTCATTTTATCCACACTCAGAGATCAGATTATCTTTTTAGTAGATTCTTCCATACTCACCCATAATTTTTTATAGTATTACCAGAATTCAATGTTCTGTTTCATGAAATACCCAAAAATGTGTTATTTTATCTTGATTTTCTTTGAGTGACATTTTTGTCTCATAGAGGTTCTCCATATTTTTTAAGGGAGTAGGTGTAGAACCATTCGCAGCCATTATATAGCTTTTTAAAGTATGTTATGTGTTATCTGCGTGATCTGTCTACTACTTTATCAGATAGGCTGGCAAATTACTAGTAGCGCTCTCCATCTTGAAGTACAGTTGACAGAAACTGAACAAAACACTTTAGAACAGCTGAGCTCAAGTATTACTGAAATCTGGGAACACACACATAGCTCGTTGATTTTTATTTTCTTGCTTTCCAAAGAGAAAATACCATTTAGATGTAGGAAATTAGGTTAAGAAATATAAACTGAATAAGTGCAACTGGATCCATAATACATTGACAGCTATTGGTAATCCTCAGTGAAATTAGAAAGTTTCTTCTTGAAGAAAGTCTTCTATAAAAACATATTTTCTGTGTTTTCCTTTGTTGGCTCTCACGAGTTCTCATAGGAATTGTGCAGGTGAAATGTAATGATGTGCTAATAGTTCTAGAAACCTGAAGGGTTATTGGTAAGATGATTGGTTTGTGAACATGTATTGCAAATTCTATCTCAGAATTCAAAGTCATTGTCTGGGGCTTTCCTTCTCCCTCTTTCAAAGGGCACAGGAATTGCATTAGACCCTGTGTGGTTCTGGCAAGTGGAGAAGGGTGTTTTGCTCATCTATTCAAATGCTTGTGGGCTCAAGTGTGGTAAGTCTGAGTCTCAAGACACAGTTGGCCTTGGCCTTCAAGAAACAGCAGTTGACGTGGAGAGAGGGAAAGGAAAAGAAAAGAAAAGGAAGCAGGCAGCATATGGGCCAAGCAGTCACCATCCTGGGGCAGAGCCCATCCTGACCCTGGATGGGAGGGAAGGGGAGTTCTTGTAGTCAGGGCAGAAGGGAAGTCCTATTTACACACAAATGGATGCTGACACATTAGCAACTACCCACATGAATTAAAATCCAAACTCCCAAACTAAAAAATCTCCTCCATCAGCCTGAATCAGTGGGCTGTCTCTTCTAGCATCAGCCTATGATGACAGTCAAACCATCAAGATAATTATCATTAATAAGGAGTAAAATAAGACTTTAAGGATTTGTTAGCTGCTTCTTTGTTGGGTGATACTATTCTACCAAAATTTCTGGTTCACCCTGACTAAATGCAAAGATTATTAAAATTAGATAAATTAAAAATAGTTGTAAAACAAAAAAGAAGCTTAAGATGCTGCATGCACCTTACTAAAGAGAACAGAAATCTGAGCTGTGTTCATAGGAGGTATCTTTTTACAAAAGCAGAGAAAGGTATAAAAATAGAAACTTGAGAGTGTTTCACAGCCAATTCTATATCATTTGGATTGAGAACAAATTGTGCCACAACATTTATTGTTAGCAAAGAACATCCTGCCTGAATGGGGCAATGGGTAAAAGTGATTTATGAGGTACTTTTGAAGAAAACATGCCTTCTGGAAAACAAATGAGAGACAGTCAACAAGACAGCTATAAAGAATGACTTAAAATTCAGTACCCAGGCCAATATAAATGGAAACATGAGCATAAGATGAATAGGTGAGATAATTTAAGATCGATATTCATCTCAGACTCTTTGTATTCAAATGACCATAACTAAATATGTCTCTGCTCTTATTTTTCCCACATATACAAATTGTAGCTGCCAGTGACCTTAACTTGATGTTGTTTTGTCTTTGTTTGTATTCATTGTATTTAAAAGAGACGATAAAAATCTCAAAGAAAAATCACCCACTAAAAAGAGGTCTCTTAGCCATCTAGAACCTTAAAGTTTAAAAAACATCAAGTCATCTGGTGTTTAAGGATATGGCAATAATTATTAACTTGGAAGTTGGATTTTAAGATCAAGGAGGTGCCATCACAAACACTAACTTCCTGGATGACATAAGTGGTATGTCTATCCGTTATTGCATCAGGTAGTTAACAGAAAATGCAGAGTCCATCTCCATGTTTTGAGTTGGGCCCCAGTGACACATTCCCTGGGCAACATAGACATGTGGTCCCTCATCTTGTCTTGTCACAGCCTTCTCATGTGCTCCCGCCAGCCTTTGGAGCCACTGGTGTAACATATGTTAACATGATATTAAGAGCAACAAAGATTAAGAAGGATCTAGCTCCAGCCGGGGATATGGATGGGAACCAGGCAGCTTTTCACCACAGGGTCTGCCCGTGCTCTTGACATGCTTTTGGCACAGCTGCTTCTGGAGGAAACTGGATGGCCCAGAGGAGCAGGTGGGGTCTGGGTCTCCCAGCCCTCATAAGTTCTGTGGGATGGTAAGAGATATTCATTCCATGCAGCGATACACATTGTTCCCACCATAGCTTTGAGAGGTGCCCACTTTTCCCCACTTCCATTGAAAGGGAACAGCTGAGCTCAAGTACTACTGAAATCAGGGAACACATACATAGCTCATTGTCAGCTGACCACCAATATGCTTCCATACCTGGCAGTCCAGCATTTCTGAGTTAACAAAAAGAAAAAGAGTGCTATGTGCAAAATTGTTTAACCAAGAAAAATAAGTATTTTGTTTTCATTTTGGATAAAAAATAGTGCTAGACTTCAATGAGGTAAATGCATGAACTGGCCCAATCATTAATTTTTCTTCAATGACAAAGCTGAAACTTAGTTTTTCATTGACACTTCTTTCTGTTTGGAATTTTTATGCAGCAGCAAAATTCTATACTTCATATTTATGCAGTATAAAATAATAAGCATGCAAAAGTTCCTAATGCAAATGGTACCATTTTCTGTATAATAAGTGTGATAAAAATAATATGCAACAATTTATCTTTACACTTAAGTGCTATAGAATAACAACAGTGACAGTCAGCAGTTAAGAGAAATACAAGTATGGTAATCATCCTTTAATGAGATAAGTCTATGGGGAGAAACCTGGACTCTCTTAAAGGTTTAATTTTCAATAATAAAAGTAATCAAAAAGAATAAAACAAAAAAAAAGATTAAATAAGACTTTACATATAAAAATGGAGTGAGATTGTTCAGGAACTCTAGAGCCTCTGGTCACAAAACCAAAGTCAAGCTCCTACACTAATGTTTGAACCTATATATTTTTTCTTGAAGTATATAGGGGGAAATCCCACCTTAATTTTATTTATAGAGCCTCAAACAGCAGTTAACTGTTTACAGTTATCACAGTATTAGTATGCCTTAGAATTCAATGTCTTTGGGAGAAGGAAAATTATATAATAATTTATTGTGCCATTTAAGGCCACCAAATTAGAATACTTTCTTAAAGTTAAATACATGAAAGAGTCTAACTTAGTTAATGGGAAGAAAGGATCCTGTATTTTATGTTCAATAGATTATGCTGCATACCTTGTAAAACTTTCTTAAAACTATGTAAGTTATGATCAATGAAAATAATACATTAAAAGTCTGGTGAGCTATCAGCCATGTGAAATGTAGTTTTGAGAAGCTTTATTAAGCTCACCCACCCTTCACCTCACCATGGATAATTAATGGGTAAACTAGTAAGTCCTACATTCACCCACTTGCCATTTTTACTGGGTTTTGCTTTTGATATAGTGTTGCATTTATTGTTAAAACAATGTTCCCTCTGGAAATAATGCATGGAAAACAGTCAGAAATTATTAGCCATGGGGGAGTACTGGATTACAGATAAGAAACCTTGGAGATTTAAAGGCTTCCATGGGGACTAAACTCCCAGAAGACACAGCCACCTCTGCCATCTTTATTTTATTCTGTCTCTTCCAACCAGTTCTGCTTTGCTTCTGTCAGGAGAATCCTGCTTTGCCTCCTGTGGAATATGGTTGGGTAAGAAAGTCCAGCAAATTTCAAGTACAAGTAGAAAACTCTCAAATAGTCATAAATGTGGGTCCCATACATTGTCTGCCACTATGTTTTACCAGAGTAATTTTTGAAAGAAGTTTTGTAAAGAGGGGTTTGATGATTACTGGAAAAGTTCAAGTTAGACACAAAGAATTTCATGGAGGCAAGACTAATTACACACTAGAACTGGATATCGAACAAGGTCATGAGATAGCTAATAGAAAAGTCTCTTTTTAATAATAACTTCTATTAAACTATGAGTGTGTTTTATGACAAAGTAACAGTTTGACTACAGGCTACAAACCGGATAAATGGGCTATCAGATCAAAAATGTTTTCTACAATGCCTATGAATTAGGTACTACCCAAGAAATATTTATTTCTGTTTTCAAAAAGCCAGCAAACATACCTGTGTTCATAAAAGACATGTGGACTTTGATGTACCTACATTTTTTTAGCCCAAAAGATTGCTGGGATGAATGGAAAAATGGATTTCTCAGACTGTTTTACAAATATAATAGATTCAAAAAGGGGGAAAAATCCCCTTTTCCCATAGGCATTCCTCA